TTTTCTTCTTTTTTTTTATTCCCACTTTGTGAACTTTTTTTTATTTTTTTTTATCGAAAGAATATTTGTACGAATTTGTGGTGTGTGGCCCAAAACTATTTCTAATATCCCGTGTTGAAAAAAATAAGACAAAGAAAGAAAGAAAAAGTAAAGAGAAGCCATAGAATTAGTTTTATATAGTATAAACAAAACGAGCAAAATGTGTATGAATGTTGAATAGGAACGCACTAAATTTAAAATTGGTTAGGAAAATTCCTTAGATATATTAGCACTTGAGAGAGGTAGCTTAATAGTCGCGGCGAGTTAGATTGGACACCACTTAACCACAATTATAAGGACGAAGAAAATAATTTATCGCCAAATGGGAAAAAGTTTTATAAAAAACTGAATAATTAAATTTTTTTTAACGCATTTTTAAAATTTATTTATTTATAATAAGAATAAATGAGAAAATAACGATAACTATATAGAAATAGAATATTAAATATGATATTAATTTATTTTTAAGTTGAATGAATTACAAATGGAGTTCCGGTTTATAGAAGTGATTAGTGCAGAAAAAAGTTGGTCTTCCCTATTTAAGGAAAAAGAAAAGGAATTGTGAACACTGAACAATCGAATCTGGTCTCAGTGTCTCACGTGATCTAAGTTTCGCCCATCTCTACATCTTGTCATCCATGCACGAGCCACAATTGCTCCTCTTCGTAGCTATCGTAAAGGAAACAATTTTGAAACTCTTGTTTTTTTTTTTTTTTAATTTAGTATTTTTTCCTATACATTTTTGCAAAATATGACAATCGTGCTTAATTGATTCACCCATACATGTTAAATTAAAATTATTTTCAATCAATTAAATTTTTTTAGTGTTTTCTTTAAAACACACGCATTTTGAATTGTTTAAATGTATATTTTTAAGATTATAAATAATTTTGTTTTTATTATATCCTTTTTATATTTTAATTAAATAAGTTGCGTTCATCCCATTTAAAAGAATTTAGACATAATAAATATTTTTGTTTATCTTGTAATTATAAAGGGTGTAACAATAAAGTTTATAATTGTATTGTCTTTAGTAAGATCAAGTTGACCTTCACTTGTTTGTTTAATGGGCTTCCAATCCATTAGCAAAAAATAAAATCCTAGACAAATAACTATTAATAGTTAGCAAGATATTTTAATGACATAAATATCTTATAAAATATCGTAATCAAATACATTATATTTTCTTAACGAGATATTTCTTTTATTAAAAATAATATATTTACTAATCAATAATAATATCTTCACTTAATTATCATAATATATTTTCAAGATATCATACAACATCATTTATAAACGTGAAAATCAATCACCTATATATGAAACATCATATATTATTCTACCCTAATATCATTTTTAATGTAAACTTCCATTTAACTTGAATGTTAGAGTGTCTTTGATAGTGTCCCCACAATCGTTGATACTAGAGCAACATGAACGAGTCGTCGAAACACTTGTAGATTTTCGTAAGAACATTTGACACCCACCATGGGGCTAAAATGAAACTATAGTCCGATCACACATAATTTTCACTTGAAACAAGATAATGAATAACAACATAGTAAGAACCTCCACAACAATTAATAATCCTGACTCAATCCCAAGGCAATAATCTCTATTTTTAGTCGTCGCAGCTCCATGTGTGGAACCCATGACAACTACACCACCACGAGCCTACTCATTCAACCATCCAACGCCAAATTAGTACAGTGCTTGGAAGTCTTGCCAAGACCTGATGAAGAAGTTTTGGTAGTCCTCCATTGACAACGTGAAATAGATCGAGCACATTACAAAGTCAATTGCATATGTTATGAAGTTGATCATGAACTTTACGAATAGGAACTCTGGGCTCTACGCTAGGAGAACAATGACATTAACTAAAGAACCAACTTCCCAACTACGACAACCTCTAGATCAACCTGAGAAACCTATGTTATGTAGAACTTCCAACCCGACTAGGAGAGTCACTCCTCTCCTTGAGTTCCCTTAAGGCAACTTGATAGCAAACGTTATGGTCATATGTCAAACTCAACATACAATGCCTACAAAATAAGCATCACAAGACAAGTAAAAAATTAACATGCCACCGACAAACATCGAAATAAGTTCAATCTATAATTTCATAATGAGAAGCTAAATTAAGGAAGTTATTACATTTCGTTGCATAATAAGTATTATTATATTGTACTCCAATGTATGACACCAATATTATTACTATAGCTATGTACATGAATGAAGTACATGAATCATAATTTTCTTTTTCTTTTTTCAAAGTTGCAACAACTATCATATAATCTCCCTAAGTCACTTATAAGCACAATCACGAACTTTTAAGTTCGTTCATGATTTTGAACTTCCAAGATCTCACGCCTTCATGATCACAAACTTTCGAGTTATTGCACAAAATCACAACTACGAATTTTTCAATAAGTAGCGAAATTGACAATTTCCTCACTTCGTGCCTAATCGACCAAGACATCAGCAATAGAGACTTCAACCACAATCTAGTTAGCAGTAGGATGGACAAACCTCCCTTAACAACAAACCTCAACAGTTTCTTCCACTACAACAATCTGACTTACCTTACCTTAAACACAAGTTTTTTTATTCACGTTAACAACCTCCTCGACCACCTTGACCTTGACCACTACCACCAACCCCTATGAGTGGTCTCTATCTCCTCACCTTCATCCTCATCAGAAATTTCAGTCTCATTCACAATAAAAATATCAAAGTCAACAATCGACTTACCATAAGGAAAATTTAGTGCGAAGAATGCCACATGGCGAATAATAAACTGAAAAACTTTTACGTGCTCCTTACAAATAGCCTTCTTCTCACCCAAAAGTTGTCACATTTTAAGGGTGAGAACACCTACCTCATCAAAGAGTTTTTTATGATCCATAAGCACACTATCCCATTCAGCAACAAGCCAAGCCACTTTAGCAAAATAAACTTCATTATTCTCTAACAACCTTTTCTTCTCACCCTTAAGACAAGCACACATCATCGATGACATGGTTGTATCAACATAGACAGCCTTTAACAACTTGAACTTGCCATCCTTGATGACAAGGATAGATTTCCCACCCCACTAGCAAACTTATCACACTCTTGCAACAACACATCCTTCTCAGTTGTGGCTTACAAATAAAATTCCTTTCATGACCCTATCCGTCCCATGAAGCCTGTGAGCCCAATAAAAATATTTAAAAATATTTTTTTTTCCTTTTTTATGCCAATAATATATGAGGAAAAATACATAGAAAAATATTATATAAAAATATAAACATCAAACAATACAAAGATTTACACATTTAAACTAAAATATTAAAATATTAACATATCAAACTTGTACATTTAATCTAAAATATATTTATGCATAAAAAATTTAAAACATATTAAGGTAGCAAAAGTGCATTATATTTTAAATACAAAATATGTTAAATTCAATATTTATTATTTACAATTATTTATTAACAAAATACTAAAATCACTCATTATTTAAAATCTCTCATGAAGTTGGAAAAAAAAATAATTCTCTTAAATGGGTTGGTCTACGATGTTTGTAGATTAAGTTTGAAAAATCCGTGTGCTTTGAGTCTGGCTAAATTTCTCTTAAAATTATGTAACTTTTTTTTAAAAAAAAAAATAGGCCTATTAACTATGCAAGCGTAAGCTTCACAAGTCGACCTACAAATTTTAATTCATATACTCACCCCTAATGAAAAACTTTTAATATATCCTAATTAAGTACATTACATTCATTTGACGAAATATTCTCACTTATCACAAATAATATATTCATTAATTAATAATAATATCTTCATGTAATTACCGAAATATATCTTCAAGATATTATACAACATCATCTCTAAACCTAGAGATCAGTCACTTATATATGGAGTATAATTAAGATATTATTTTACATACTCTAATCTCATTTTCAACTTAAAGTCCTTTCTAACTTAAATGTCAAAATATATATCTTTGCAAGTATTCTTATCGCCGTACATATCATCCCGCCATTGGAGCATTTGTAAATTTTGTTAAAAACAATAATATTCTCTCTTTTTTTCACTTTCTCTTCAACCAAACAATTATAAAAATTCTAAACTATATATTTCTTCTCACTTTTCTCTATCAACCAAACATAACATTATTCTTTCTTTTGTTGCTGTCTCCTCAATCCAAAAAAATCATTTTTAGTGTGGGACTTATATATATTTTTTTCGTCTCTTATATTCTTTCATACTAACAAAACAGAAGATTTTCTTTTTTAAAAAAATGTGATTCCTTCGTCCTCGTTCCAATTCTCTTCTTTCTCTAACTCCAAACGATGCATTTATCTTTCTTAAAAGTCCATCGCTAAATCACACGTGACCTATAAAGAGAGGGAGGGAGCTAACATTTTCAACGACATTTATATATTTGTATAATTTTTTTTTTATATTTTCTTTCATTGTATTTTTTTTCTTCTTCTTTTTCCTCTTTTAATCATATATCCCATTATTTTTTTATCTTGTTCTCTAAGATTTTCTTTTTTATATATTGTATTCTGTACCTCTCTTTTTTCCCTTTCCTACCCAAACATATGTTTTTCCTTGTACTTTCCTCTAAAAATTATGTTTTTAAAACATTGACAGCATTAACTTTAGTTTAGAAGAGAGATGGAAAGCGTTGTGTATGCCATTCTACCGGGAGATTGTCAACCAGTGTGCATAAAATTTAACCTACATCATCATCTGTGATTGATCATTGAAAATCATAAGATTTCCCTAAATTCGGAGTCATCATATAATATCACCAGCTAAATGTGTTATATATCGGTCAAATAATATGATACAAGATATCCAAATGAATGAAATGAACCTCTTTACAAGGGAAATTGTTGTATATCGCTCAATTCTGATGAAAATTAAAAATGCCCGCAATGTGAATATATATTTAGCTCTCGAATATAGAGAAAAACTCAATTTTTATTACAGGATGAGTAAACGTTTACAACAGAGAAGACTTGTAAATGGCACCTAGTCCTCACAAATCATGAATCAGACCCCTACCTACTCTCATATATATATATATGAACTATAAACATTAATTAATCAGAACATGAACTCATCCACACCGTCACAATACATAAGTTAATATCACAATCACTTGGACATATATAGACTTCCATCTTTCATGGCCAATAGTCTAAAATCATACATTCGATCAAACCAACACATGCAACTATAATAATAAATGAAAAAGGAGAACCTAAAGCCCGACAACAAACAATTAAAAGGAAAAAAAAAAAAAAGAAGCTACCATTTAAATGTAGTTTTTCAAGTGTTCTCTTGTGTTATATTATTCAATCATAATTAATATTTTACCTCGATAATCTTTATTGATCCGTAGTACAAATTTTTATCGACAGATTATCGAAATAAAATTTTAATTTAGATAAAACTATAAATATGAAAAACACAGGAAAAGAACCACATCTAAATGAAGTTTTGTACATTAAAGAAGATACTAGGCAAGAGTTGAATGAGTAGTACCGAAACACCAAGGGGTTGTAGCTAGGGGTTGTTTGTTAATTTGGTGAGTATATATATATGTGTTATGACCCTAGCTAGCCACCCTACATGTCCCTAACTTCGAAAGCGTTCTTGTTCTTGACAACTATGTCATACATGTGCATGGGCTTGAACTTGTTGAAATCTGTGGGGAGGGAGATGAGGTGCACGGTGGAGCGCTTGTGGAACTGCAGGAGTTCGGGGTCATCGTAGTAACGCTCCCAGCCAAGTGAATATAGCTTGCGTTCTAACACTGCATAAGAGGTAATAGCCTCATTGCTTGCTCTGTGAACCAGAACCTTCCTTCTTCCACCTCGGCTTCCCTCCACTGCCTCGCCTCCCGGATTCTCCACCAGCCTCACCACACCGTTCTTGAAAACCCAAACCCCTGACATTCCTATTCCTACCCTTCACAACTAGATGATCACTAAGTCTTTCTTTCTCTCTCTTTTGTTTCCACTTTTCTAGTGTCTAATGTATATATAGGTGTGAAGATCAGAAACTTTTACGATGGAAATATATATTTTATAAACAAGACTTACATAATATGCCTTAGTGTCTTGTTAACCTATATCTTTATCACAATAGTTAAACAATCAATATGTAAAAAAAAATTATACAAATAAATTTTTCAATAAAAAAATTCTCTTTTTTTAAATTTTTTTTTTTTAACCAATATCCTTAAGGTATTGGTAGTATTTTTTATTTTATTAATATAAATATTGTTTAGAGTGTAAATCAACTTGTGTGAAATTATTTCAGTTTAACTAATAGTGATGAAATTGAATTTTGATATGATATGTTAAATATTTTTAGAAAAACTTTGTAACTCATAATAATTTTATGTGGTTCGAAGAAGATTATTTGTTTAAGAATAACATGAAATATAGACTAAAAAACTATAGGTATTATTGGTGCTGATGTTTTATTAGAATTTAAGTTTCACTTTCAATAATAAACATCAATATTTAATGTAAATTTTTATTATATAAATTACGAGATAAAATTCAATAAAAACCAGTAGCAACAGCACACAGAGAATTATGCGTACGAGTATTCTCCTTATTTTATTTGCTATGTTATATATATATATACACCATATTGAGTGTTGAGGGAGAATGGAAGATATATATTATAGTATATATAGCGGGGTGTTTGGATGTGAATACAGCTAATGTTGGCCCCAGCAGGGAAGAGTCCTAAGCTAAAGGTGTATTTTGGGGACATGGTGTTTGGGGAAAGGGTAGGGGCCCGGGTTATTCATTTCATCAATTATCATAATCAGATTGGGGGAATCGTGATTCACTTTTCCATTTGTGTAGTCTAAGTATTGTAACCCCACACCAAGAGAATCTAAGTTTTGTTTGGCAGAGAATGAGTTCTTCTAGAAGACAGTAAAAATAAAATACCAAGTCAGTAAAAAAAAAAAAAAAAAAGAATACATATACTTAGACAAGAGCAGCTTGCTGCTTTTTACCATTTACCAACAATTAACTATATGCTACGTGCAAAGAAAAAATGGTTGCGCAAAGGAACAAATGAAAATGTGCTATATATAGCAAATCAAGCTCCTTAATTGGTCAACTCTAGTGGGGGCTATTTCAATCAAATCGTATCATAAAGTGGTGAAGAAAACTATATGAGAGGAAGGGGGGCGAGTGTATATGTTGGACTTGAATGGTTGTGGAATAAATTTGTTCAAGTAGAAAGAGGATGCCCAAGTAGGCTTAAATGAATAGTATACACTTTTCCAAAAGTGTTCATCTAGTTTGTGGATCGATCAAGAAGTGCATATAGTGGGAGTGGGGACCAAAGATGAAAGGAATTGTTTTCAATTAATTATGGTCGTTGGTGTGGAAATAACAGTGTAGAATTGCATTAGGACACACAAGTGACTTTGGAGAGGGAGAGGTTTTCCGTGCATTTCTTTTTTTGTTTTTGTTGCCTAACTATGATACTAAGTTATACTTTCGGTCGGTAAAAGGGTTTTGCTTGCCTAACTAGTTTTGACGCCACCCTTCAATTATATTACTATAATTTGCGTGGGGGCATTTCGATGATAACAATAATAAACTTCTTCTTACCTTCAAAACCAAGTCCCCATGTTTGAATTTTAAAAATGACCACAAGAAATCAAAGTTTATTATAAATACAAGCAGTTCGATACTCGTTGTTTTATAACTAAAAATTATGCATGTTCTTTTTATAGTGTGTACAAGTGTCCGTGCATGTATCATGTGTTTATGATTAAATAACATTTTTACGATAAAGTACTCCTATCATCATTTTAATCTAACTTCGCACAAAACTCAAAACTCAGTTTAAAAATTAACGCGATACAATGGAAGCATCAATTATTACCCAATTGCTGTATATTGGTTCCGTTAGGTTTTTCTAGAGTGCCATTTTAGTTTGAGACACAAAATCACAAATGGTTTGTGTCTGGACTCCGGACTTTAAAATACCGCAAAAAATCATAGACAAATTCTATTAGATTTACGATGTGTGCTGTACTATATATGTTATACTGATTAATTTCTATTTTGGTTTGTGCAGATCTAATTTCTAGAAAAATGAGAAATAAATGAAAAAGTGAACATAATAAATATTACAATTCAAACAGTTAAGGAAAAGCCTAACAAAAAGGCTAATTAAAAGAAAAACTTCATGTCTCAAAAATCAGATATATCCAATAAAAGAACGACTTATACCACATATTAAAGTTGCAGTCCTTTAGGGCATACATGCTCATTAACCCAACACCATGGTTATGACTTTGCTCCAATTTGCTACCTCCTCCTTGTGCCACATGGTCCTCTGACGCACCATGTTCTACATTTATTTCTCATGACAAAGATTTTGTTGGGGTATTTCTTTCTTTGTCATTTTCTCTCGAATTCCTTTTGAGTCGCATTGGGCCACCGTTGACACTCTCATAAAGCTAGCTCGTATATATCTTCTGTCAAGTTATTCATATTCTTAATTTCACAGATTCAAATGTATATAAAATTTTCAATTACAAGCAACTCGATCATAGACACTAATAGTAATGGGATTGGTAGATAGCTCCTACTTCCTCCAAGCTGCGTAACTTCAAATTTTCGCTCAAATTATTCTTGGAATTTATCTCGTATAATATTCTTCAATTCTCTAGAAGTTTATGTTAGTGAAGTAATCAACGTAAGTAGTTGTATCAAATACTCACGGAAAGAACAATGGAAATTCATTGCGAGTAACAATGACGTAGACGATGAGGTGGCATGCATCAAGACGATGTGATTTCTAGTTTCTACCCACAATTAATTACCAGCCTCACATAATTTAATTTGATTCCCAATATATCCAAAAATATTTCCAAGTTGGGGTTTCTTGATAAGACACATCAGCTTAGCGATTGCTTTTTGGGATTTTGGCCCTTTATTTTGTTTGTGATAAAAGTTATTCGGAGAACATGTCCTTAGTGACAAAACATGCAATTTATAAAACATGTTACTTCTTTAATCCCGTGTCATAAAGGACTTGGCTCCACAAATGCTTCCTCCGATACATATGTATATACATCAAGCTAGCCTTTGTGAGTGTCCCAATAGAAAAGCCAAAGACAAAATACTAGCTACTCTGAACAAAGATACTTGCTAGCTAGCTCGTATCATCAACATCCTTCACAGATGTATATGCCTTTCCATATTAGCCTCTTCTTTTAAAAGACACAAAAACCATGATCTATCTAATCACCATAAAGGAGTTGTTGTTGGCTAGGGTTTCCTGTTATCTACAAGATTTCTTTCAACACGTCGGTGCCAAAGATCATTGATTCAACAACCCAAATTTTCTTAAGATGTATATTAGCCTAAATGAATCTCTTTCTATCTTCGTGTATTTTATTTAAAAATAAAAATAAAAACAATTACAATTGATATGATCATAAGTAGTTAATAATCAAAGAGTCTAAATAGTTTTGAGTAATTGTAGAGAGATAATTAAATCAATATTTATGAACAATTTTCAAGAAAGATAAATGAATGATAAAAAGTTATAAAATATAAATATAGATAAATATATTTACATAAAAGTAAATATGAAAGACGATTACTAAAAATAATATCATCTTTAATAATAATATAAAAATATAGATACATTGGACTAATAGTGTAGTCCACAATTAATCATTCAATTACATTTATATTAAAAATTTTAATTTTTATAACAATAATTTTTAATTAGTCCACAGCGTAAATATTTCATAATAGCCTATTTTTTTATGCTATATTAAGAATATATGAAAATTAAACTACGCATATAATTCAAATATGCATGATTAAATTCAACGTCAATTTGTCATGTGATTTCCATGTCTAGTCATTCTTACTGTTTTTTTTTTAATAATCATGATATGCAAATTTTAACAAAAGTTATATATATATATATATATATATATATATATATAGTGTTG